AAAAAATAGGTACCGGAGTTATTTAGAAGTGAAAAAAACACCTTTTCAACACACTCCTTCAATGTCCTAGAGGTGCATTTTGGTCATCCTGTTTAAGGCCACTTTTTATTTATTTATTTATTTATTTATTTATTTATTTATTTATTTATTTATTTATTTATTTATTTATTTATTTATTTATTTTTCATTCATTCATTCATTCATTCATTCATTCATTCTATTTGTGAAATGAAATAAATAAATAAATAAATAAATAAATAAATAAATACTCGGGGCGGCTTACAAATATCATAAAATATCATTAAATAACATCACAATCTTTGAGAATGAGAAAGGTGAGAGGAATGCTAATTTTTTCTGTGTGTAAATACAGTACATACATTCAGAGAGAGAGCGAGAGAGAATTTTGTGTGTGTGTGTGTGTGTATATATATGTGTTTGCAATGCTATCAGCATAGAAGCTGATATAGAGAAAATAACAATTCTTGCATTGCAAATACATCAGCTCTGGCACAGAAACATAGGAACTTGTTTGATATGAAGGCAAAAATAATTTACCAAATGCAGTAATAGTCAACAGAGCAACGGCAGGTCTCCCAGACTTTGGACATGCTTGTCTTGGCCCAGCCTGGTAGCAAATCCTAGGAAGTGAATCAATGACCTTTGGCTTTCAGAGCATGTGTTCTCTGGCTGAGTTACAGCCCTGCTACTGAACATAATTTCCCTGGAAGAGGGAAAAATTGTATATGTCAGTTCTTGAACTATAGTTGTAGAGCAGCCATTCTCAACTTTTTTTTGGCCACGGCCATAAGCACAAGACATACAGACTGAATCAGGATTGTATATGTCACATAACGGACGTTATAAGGTGTTGTGTGAAGAATTGTTTCCCGTCAAATGTGCCAGGGCCCCCCTCAGGGGACCCCGTTGAGAATGACTGCTGTAGAATACAGAGCTACGGCTTAGCCTTTCTGATTATAAATTCTGAATGCTCTTTGCATAATGCAAAGATCAAGGATATAAGGCTTCAAGACTTCATGGCTGACTTCATGGATGAGGGAGGCCAATTCTTTTCCTCTGGGTAGGCTCCTGTGTTTTTAGGACCTATGTGGAAAAGAAAAAAGTCAGCTGACAAACATTTCCCCATGAAGGACAATAAAAACATCTTTTCCTGCTGAATTGCTGCTTATTATGCAGTATTTGGGAGGGATTTTACCCCAGCCATAGGGGAATCTAAGTCTTTATCGCATTCCCGTGATGCATCAATCCAGTTTTCACTAGTGCTACTATACTAGCATTTCACTGCCCACTTCATATCTGGAACAAAATCCAAAGAAGAAAGATTCATTGACTTGCATCATCACTGTTGTCTCATTTACTTACTGGATCTACTTCAGTTAGAACTAACAAATGAATTTAGCTCTTGTTCTTTGAATTCTAAGCTGCCTTTGTGTCAAATAAAAGGACATCAAGGGTGTCTGCTTGTGTTATCCTGAATTCAGAATACTGTACTGTGGGGACTCAGCATTGTCAAGCCTAAAACATTGCCAGGAGGGGGAGGGCCATTTTCCCCCAGCCTTTTACTTCCTGGGGAAGGGGGGGGGATCCTGGGTTCCCATCAAAAGGAATACCTTCCCCTCTCATCATTGTTCCTCCCTTCAGGGCGTTACTGGCAGGTGGTGGATGGCCCCTCATCCCGGCTGACCATCGAAACCAGTGATGTGGCTCTCGGTTCCTACACGATGGAAGTAGAAGTTTACCACTACCGGGGACGTGAGAAATTCATCCCTATAGGCGGCACCTCATCACAGTTCAGCATCACAGGTTATTTTAATTAATTAATTAATTAATTAATTAATATCCCACCCATCTAGACCGAAGTATGTGTCACTGGGCTGAATTCTTTGCTATGGAGATTATTTGAATTAGCAGGGGCAGGGGTGGAGGAAGACTGCAATGGATACCCTAGACCAGAGGTCCCCAACCCCCAGTCCACGGCCCGGTGCCAGTCCATGGGTTTCCTGGAACTGGGCCGTGGAGACAGATCTCTGCCCCCCCCGCACGCACACACGGTGGGTGTGTTGCGCTCGCAGAGGGGCGTGTTGTGCATGTGTGTGAGTGTGGCACGCCCCTCTGTGAATGCAACACACCCACCTGCGAGTGCAACATGCCCCTCCGTGAGTGCAACACGACCACCAGCAAGTGTGACACGCCCACCCGTGAGAGTGGGGGTGCCCCCATGCATGGAGCCTGCACCCCCACAACCGGTCCACGGTCCCAAAAATGTTGGGGACTGCTGCCCTAGACATATGCTAGGATTTTCTTTGTTCCCCCCCCAAAAAACTGCACGGGGAGAAGGGGTGCAGCTCTTACTGCTGTCCTGCAATTTCAACTTACTGAGACTTGACAGATCAGGAGAGACCTGTAAGAGATAAGGAAAATGAGTAACTAGAAAAGTCACTTTTTAAAAGTAATTTGTTCCATTACTGTGCTTGGAGAAGGAATTCCCTGTCATTACTTGCTAGAAGTGGCTTGTTCCATTGCTTATTGCACAAATCCCAGTTAATGTGCCTCAAAATGCCCTTTAAAAGTAACTTTAAGAAGTAATGAGAAAATAATACCTATTACAACAAGTTGATTTTAGAATATTAAACCCGGAAGAGCTTCCAAGGGTCATGGAAATCCATAGTTAAAGCTTTCCTGACAGATGGTCGGCCAACATCTGTTTAAAAAAAAATCTCCCATGAATGAGAACCCACCACTTTCTGAGACAGTAGATTCCACCTGTTTGGTGTCCTACTTGTAAAGTTAGTTTTGAAATGTAGTTTCCGTTAACAGAAATATAAATACATGTCAACTAATTATCAGGAGCGGCACTGCTTGTAACTTATTGCTTCTAAGTTCAGGAAGGCACATCGTTGTGGAGCCGTCAAGGATGCTTCCGAGAAGGTGGGGAGGGCACTGCTGTTCTGTTGCAGCTGCCCCCCTCAACCCAGTCGATCTCTCTGCCCCTTGCTGACATTCTGCTCTCTTTTACAGACCAGATCCCATTCAATGTGGACATTGCACAGGTGCTAGATGTGGATGGGACAGATGGCCAGTTTGTGCGAAACCGGGCCATCTCCTTTGGTGTGAGGCTCCACGACCCCAGTCAATACCTGAGTGATGCTGACATCTCCTACTCTTGGGATTTCGGTGACCAGAGTGGGACCTTGATTTCTCGGGCAGCTATGGTGACCCACACCTACCTTACCGCTGGGACCTTCAGCCCTCGCGTCGTGCTGCAGGCAGCCATCCCTTTGGCCTCCTGTAGCAGCACATCAGAACAGCCCCTCATTGTCCCCACAACCGCACCAAGCAGCACCACAGTTCAGGGGGCGACAATCCCCACAACGGGGCCGAGGGGCAGCACATCTCAAGATACCAGTGCCTTGCCTACTGTCAGCAGCATAACCTGGACAAGCAGTGAAGGTGCCCAAACCTCTGGTAAGTACCTGGCCCCTCTCCGAATTACCTGTCTTAGTTCACATCACTGTAGGGGTTAAGTTACTTTATTATGAAGCAAAACATAAGCTTCTCTGTTTAGCATAATGTATGTGCTTCATGCTGATCTAGCCTTAGCTTTTTTTTTAATTGAATTCATGATTTTCAGTTTAGTTATAGAATATAAAATAAGACTTTTGAGTTGCGTTCTGGGGAATCTCGGGAACTCCCGTGAAGATTTTCTGATTGTGAGGATCAGTAATAGCAGAGACATTTTCTTTAAAAAAACAGTTTGTCCATCATTGTTAATCACCACAGCCACAAAGGCATGTCAGTTTGTGGTAACATTTTTTTTGCTTCTCCTGCCCTCCATAGCAGATGAAATCAAACAGATGACATCCAGATTCATCTCTCTCCGCATGCAAGCCCCACAGCAGGGAATCAATAGGTTCAGGTTTAGCTTTAGGATTAGTTGCCTTTCACTCTGGTTAATTGCAGGACTATAATGCAATTATAAAATACATGCTATCCATCGACAGAATTTGTTGTGGTTAAGGATGATCCATATGTTGCATCCAGTTAATGAATTCCCTGAAGTGCATCTGTTTTCTATAAACATATACACAAAATCAACCTAAGGCCCTTAACTACATGCAGACTGAACTCCTTCCAGTTAAAAGAGATTCAGGGAGGTTACATGGACCAACATGGTAAAGGCAGACATTGCCCAGCAGGATGCTCTAAAATGGAGGACATAGTACACTTTCTCACAGAATGTCCTCTGTATGCCAGTCTGAGAGACCAATACCTTAAACCTTAAACAACTGGGATCAAAACTACTTCCCCTTTAGGTACTGTCCTGTTCCTACTAGCTGCCACAGACTACTATATATCCTATAGGACCGCTAATTTTGTTAAATGAGCCATGGAAAGACAGAAGTTATTGTCTGCTTCACAAGCTCTTTAAGTTAATCTTACCTCTGGATTCAATTATTGAGAGTGCTTATTACATAATTTTATTACTATTATTTATTATTTTATGCTTGTTTATATGTACTTTACATGAGATGCTAAATACTATTTTTAAGATTGGTTTGATGCTATGCTCTTATGTAAAACCTGACTGACTACAAAGCAATATTTTTTTTTAATATTTTATTTTTTAACAAAGGGTAACTGGAAGGAAAAAGGAATTGAGGTCAAAGGAAAGAGGAGAAACAATGACATACTAATATCCATTCTATACATATTGCCATCTCAAAATTCCAAATTGCTCTTTTTACTATTTTCTGCCTTCCAGATTTAAGTTCTCATTTTAATGCATGTTCTTCAAGCGATGTCTGATGACTCAAGCCATTTCTAGAATAAGTCCCATCTTTCCGTTGTAGAGGACAGTCCTTCATCACTTCTGATAAAATGTCCATTTCTGCTGCTTCCCGTATCTTCTCTATAAGATCTTCTTGTTTCGGTACCGTCGGACTTTTAAAGTAATGAAGTATTCATATTCATACAAACCAAACCCTTTACCAGAACTTGGTAAAATACCAGGTCCAACAGGGTGCTCAGCCTGCCCGGAGGAAAGCATGGCTCCACAACATACGGCATATCTTCTAACTCAAACCTCAAACTTTGGAGCGGGAGGGAGGGTGAGTGGGCGGAACAGGTCTCAAATAATTGTTTTGTCCCTCATGCTTCATGGATCTATTATCATCCCGATGGTCTTTATACGAGCCGAGCCACCTGTTATTTTAAAAACAGGCCTTGATCCCCATAAAAAAGCTGGCCTGGAATGTTTTCTGCCATGACCTCCCATTTCTCTTTTGTTGTTCTTCTTCTGCACTGCCTTTTCAGTTCCAGCTTCTGCGGTTCCTGCACTCCCAACAGAGCAGCCCCCGGAATCGGGCACTTCAGACCCCGTCTCTGTGGCCACGGCAGCTGCCCCTGCCCAGACAGTCAGCGTGGCTGTACCTGAAGAGGGAGAATTAATGGTGACCTCAGATCCTGTAACTGTTGCCTCTGCCACCTTGGCTGAAGAGGCGGCGGGCACCGTGGACCCCGTCTCTGTGACCAGCGCTGAGCCTGCCTCTCTCCCCGGCACAGTGGCATTGCCCTCCACACCCACCACCACCTCGGCACCATTGCCAGGCACTCTGGTGCCTGTGTCTACAGCTACACTGACTCCCGAGAGTGACCCAGGCACTCTGGCTCCTACCATGTTGTCATCAGAAGCAACCACAGCTGTGCTTCCTGAGATCGCAACGACACTCTCTGGGGTGGCCAGCACCCCTCCTTCTCCAGCGGCAGGTAAGTCAAGGAGGAAATTCTTCTCAGATTCAGTGGGGCAACTCATGCTTGTTCCTTGTGGGTCTTTTTTTTCTTTTTTCTTTTCTTTTCCCAATTTGGTGGGTGGGAGTGTAAAGCCGGGCATGGACTGACAACTTTGCCGAAGGCAGGAGGACCCCCAGCTGAACCTTAGGCAGGGGAGGCAGGAATGAAAGGGCATCTGATGGGCAGGGAGGGTAAGGGACAGAAGACCTTCTAGTGGATTGAAGTGGACTGAGAGGTCACTAGGGGTAAAAGAACTCTAGAAGTCTCCACCCTTTCATAGAAGTAGTGAATGAAATGGAGTGTCTGTGGGTCGTCCACAGTGGATGCAGTGCTTTGCTCAGGTGTAACCTCAACCTGTGTCATTTTCAGCCTTCCATCCATCCCTTACTCAGCAGAGAGCAGCTGTTCCCTCTCATGCAAGGCCCAACTAGAATATACCCAGAACACATTAGAAATGTAAATTCTTTAAATACTGAAAGGTCTTTTCTTGCCATAGCCCATAGCTTGCAAATTAGCATACACTGTACTATGATTGGCTTTCAAGTAGTAAACATGGGTTTCATTTGCAAGTCAAATAGTTCAGCCACAAAACTTGGAAAACAAAATCACAGGAACACTTTCAGTTGCTAATAACATGCTGTATGTATCATATTAGCGAAGAAGTATTTTTGTCCTTGACTTAGCTTTAAAAGGTTACTTTTCTTAATGATAGCTCCCAGAACTGAAAGCTCTGTGATTTAGGTCTCTGGCTGCAGAGCCAGAGGTTGGGAGTTTGATTCCCCACTGTGCCTCCCTGACATGGGCTGGACTCGATGATCCATAGGGTCCTTTACAGCTCTGCAGTTCTTAGATGATGATGATTTGGAATTTTATTCCCAAATGTAACTTTTCAAGCTCTGGCCCATGAGACTGCATACCCAATGGCATGCACCCCTCTGAAGCAGTTCAAAGCCCCCTCAGTCTCTTCCCTTTCTAGCAGCTGCCATTTTAAAGAAGGTATGAGAAAAGAAAGCTGGTTGGATAGCTCAGTGAGTTGGGAGTTTGATTCCTACTGGGCTTTTTGTGAGTAGAGCCAGCCTGGGTAGCCTTTGGCAAACTGTAGAGTCTCAGGACACCCCCAGAAGAAATGAATGGTTAACCACCTCTGTGTATTCTATACCTAGAAAAAACCCTGAAAATGGTCACCATAGATCAGAATTGACTTGATGGCACATGAGTATTATTTGTATGGGAAAAGATAGATGAGGAGACAAAATTGGACTTTGTTCCCTAGACCTCTAATTGTTTTCCAGCTGATGTTGTTGAAGACACCGTCACCGCCGACCAGTCTGTATCGGTGATACCTGAAACCGGGACATTTACAACTGAAGTGGTCCAGATCGTGGTCAAACGCCAGGCACCCAATGGCTGCCTTCTCTACCGCTACGGAACCTTTGCCACCAGTCTGGACATTGTCCGTGAGTCCAGGGGATCGGTGGGTGGATGAAAGAGAGTGTCTCAGCCCCAAGGATACTGAACAGGCTTCATTGCTTTTGCTGATGGACATGGTTTAGGGAAGGAGGATGTGGTTATTTGCATTCCAACCCTGTGCTGGAGCCTCTAGTATCTGAATTAAGAGCCCACCTCTCAGCCTGTCCCAGAAAGGCCAGGACCGGCAGTCTCACATCTTTCCTCAATGCAGTCACTGAAAGAAGACAGAGAGAGAGATAAATGAGTGACAACCACCTTGCGGCTGGATGTGAGTCTGGAGGTGGGTTGCAAGGATGAAGATCTCCCTTCCACATGTTGAGACATCCCCTAACAAGCTAAAAATTGAGTTTTAAGCACCTCCTTTTCTCCCTCCCCCCAAAAACAAATCTGGTGGAAAGTACCTCTCCTTGCATGAGTTCAAAGATTTTTACATGTAAACATCAAAATATATGCTGTCCAACATCTTCCATCTCTCTCTCTCTCTCTGCTCTTCCACTGAGGATTCTCTAGATGAGGGGATAAATGGGTAGCAAGAGAAACACATCTGGGGAGGAAAGGGGGCCCATCTTTATTCTCTTCTTCTACTGCAGAGGGCATTGAGAGTGTGGAAATCGTGCAAGTGGTGCCCCTGGTATCAGCTGTTGCAGAAAACGTGGTCGATCTCACTGTGACCTGCCAAGGAAGGTAGGTTTTGCACTTCAGAGTAATTTCTCTTCTGTTTCGCCACCACCCTGGAGAATTCCACTTCCTCATTTAAATGCAGTAGATGATGGCTGTGGGGAGTGTGTAGGAGTAGAGAGATGGGCCAGTGGGAAGGAATGGAAGGAAGCTAGGAACAAGACAAGGAGATACGTAGGGGCAGCTGGTCAAACTGTCTCTGGCCACCTGGATGAGAGGAGGATGTCATAGCAATTATGTAGAAACCTGAAGGTGGTAGTGAAGAAGGGCAGAAAATGCTCTGGTCGCCTGGGAAGTGGAGAGGAAGTGGGAGCAGGACTGTCCCACCGCTCAACCTTTGGACTAATGGACTTCTCCTGCTTGTAGCCTCCCTGAAGAAGTTTGCACAACCATATCAGACCCCGAGTGTACCATGGCCCAGGAGACGGCGTGCACCCCAGTCCAGCCCAGCCCTGATTGCCAACTAGTCTTACGCCAGGCCTTCAATGAGTCTGGACTTTACTGTGTCAACATCTCTCTGGCTAATGCCAATAGTCTGGCTGTAGCCAGCACCCAAGTCAGCATCCAAGGTAAGGCCCCAGCTTTGGGGAATCAGCTCTTCTTTTGTGGCTGGTCCCAAGGCTTGTTTAGTAAGCAAGCAGCTTTCCTTCAGTCTATCCTCCATGGTCTCATGTGGCTTTTCTCCACTGCAGTGGTCCCCACCTTAGGTCCCCACATGTTTTTGGACAAAAACTCCCAGAAACCTTCACTACAAGCAGTTCTGGCCAGGATTGCTGGGAGTTATAGTCAAATAACTTATGGGGATTCAAGGCTTGGAAACATTCTCTATTCTCACAATCTTGGCATTCCTTGTTTTTTGAACAACACTTGAACTTTAAGAAGTTATTTTTTTGTCAGAAAATCCAGCCAGTGCAGTTGCCAAAAAGTCATTTTTCCCTAGCTGTGTCATTTGATGACACGTATGGGGAAGCAGGTGCACACAGTTGTTTTGAGGCACCTCTCTTTCCCGTGTGTCTAAGGGAGAAATGTAACTCCTCTCCAATCCCTTTGAAGATCTGACAGCCAATATTAATTTCTCCCACTTCTCCAGCAGGAAGAACATCCTCCTCAGCTCAAATAACAGTGTTAGTTGGAGTGGTGCTGGTTGCTGCTGCTTTGGGTGCTGTGGCCTATACCTACCGGTGAGTTTTTGCCTAGCCATGCTGTTCCCAGTCAGTTTAATGCAGGAGGCACATCAGTCCAAAAGTCAGAGGTGGGTACTAGAAGATCAGGCAACCTGAAGCTTTTCAGCCGAGAGCAGGCCATTTTGCAGAGTCTTGCCCTTGGAATCACACTAATTGGAAAAAGATGCAAGAAATCCTGAGCTTCTTTCAACCGAGAGCAGGTCATTTTGCAAAGTCTTGCCCTAGGAATCACACTTTGCTCTAGTTGGAAAAAGATGCAAGAAATCCTGAGCTTTCAACTGCTCACCAAAAATGATCTTATTCTTGTTGCATTCTGATTCAATCTAATCAGAGTTCAGAAAAGTTTGGATGGTAAGATTGTGGATCTGAATGAGTGGGGTGTTCTGGAAGTTGTAGTCTAAACATTTCATGTGTCCCAAGTTCTGGATCTGATGCCAGGAAGTGGCTGATTTCTTGGGCACTTGAAGCTGACCGAACACTGTCTGTGGCTTTTCAAGATCACAAAGAGAGATCTTCCCTGCCAACATCAATCCTTCAAATAAGGAAAAGAACCTTCCCTGGAACAGAGAATTATCTTGCCTCCCCACCAGCCCTGCAGGGCCACACTATTGTCAATGTTCTTGTCATCAGCCATATTCAGTAGCAACTGCAGTCGCTTTCGATGGTGCAAAGGGTGGTAGGGTCCGTACGGTACTAATGCAAATCGGAGTGCATATCCATTTCGCTTCTTGAAATGACTGAAGTGAAATGATTTGAGGAAGCTGCTATTGTTTTGATGATGCAAGGATTGGCTGAACCTCAAAACACCTCCCCTCACTCTAGATGTCCGCCTTGCTGGTGTGGACTCCTCTGTAGCAGAAAGTTTTCAGATCCTACCATACTTAAGCCCTTTTCTTTGTTTTAATGCACCTCAAGCAAGGAAAAAAATTGGCTTGTAACCAAGGAGAGAGCGCTCTGCCCCCCCCCCATCGGTGGGTGAGATCCTTTGCTCTGTCCACAAGCCACTTCACACTTGGAATCCACCTCCTTCACCTTCGATTCATCCAAGACGATTTTGCTAACGGCCTCTTTATGTGTTACAGGCATGTCAAGTACACTCCCTTGCGAGCGGTGATGTCTGCCGGCACCTCTCCCAGAAGTTGGCTGCCTGACCGTACTGCTGTGCGCCTCTTCCTACGGCAGGCTTTTGGGCAGGGGGCCAGTGGGGAAAGCAGCCCGCTGCTGAGTGGCCATGTGGTCTAAAGATGGAAATGAGCGCCAAGGGACTCACCAGGCCTGGCCAGCCACCGACCAGATGTCTCAAAGAGTCTATGGTGGAAAAAGAGGCAACTCCTCTCCTCTCCAAATGACCTCCCACCCCCAACACTGTTATTCTTGTTCCCCAGTGCCGAGATAAATAAATTTCCTCACTCCTTCATGCTGTTTCAGTGCTCACCTGGATGGGGGAGACACCTGTACAGGCTCTCTTTGCAGAGGTGTTAAGTCAGCAGCTCCACATTCTGGTTCGCTCTCTCTCTCTCACACACACACACACTATGTTGGCCTCTGTCCCCAGGTGCGAGTTACCTCGAAGCAGAGCTGGGAAAGTTTCTTTTTTGTACCAACTCTCAGAATAGCAGCTACGCTGGCTAGTATATTCTGAGAGTTACTGACCAAAAGGCAGAGTTTGCTAGCCCTGCTTCCGAACACTATTGTTATGGCAGTCAAAGAAAGTCTCGACATGTTTAGTTGGAATATAATAGTAGGATCTGGATTGCATTGCGCTAGAAAACACTAAAGGTGGTGTGAATGCATCTTTTAATGGCTCGTGCATCTAAAAAGAGTTTTGAGAATAGGGTGGTGTGGACTAAACACGGTATGAAGAGATGCAACAATCTGTCCTTTCCTGCAGCACCACAGATTCCTTTGAAACGGCACGGCAGGATAACACAAAGATGGGAAACAATGCAACAAAGAATCCTGCGCCCCGAAGTGTGTACTAGGGGAAAGATTCTGCAGGCACCTTTTGTAATGCCAAAAGGAAGGGTTTGCTATTAGGGTCCCACATATCTGAGCAACCAGCCCTACAACAGAAGTTGTCTGTGCCTTTTAATAGGTTCAGAGAGGCTATTCCCTTGCAATAAAACACAGGGATCTCCCTCACTTTTATTATATTTCTAGGGTTATCGTGTGGCTGGGGTAAAATCAGGCTTGCTGAGATGTGGTCCTCTGTGTAGCTGGGAGCAAAGCAGACTACAGTAGTTGCACTGCAAAGCTAGTTTCTAAGTTAGCAATAACTGTTCTCTTAGGAGGCGACAACATAGGCAAATGGTACAGGAATAGCTGCTGGATTGGGACAGACAGATTAATCTTATTTTCCATTGACTACATGACATACGTCAGTGCAAATCAGTCCTCACTGTCACCCTCCTAATCTGCACATTTTCCCTCCACTGCTGGGTCTTCTACCTTTTGCAAATGAGTGCATTGACACAGGTTCAGGTGATGTGACTGCTTGTTCTGATGTAGTAAAGCAATGGGGGCATGAGTAGGCATGCTGGTGGTTGTAAGGTGAGTAAGCAGAAGCAAAGAGGCACTCAGGGATATCAGTTCCATTCAACTGAGCAGCCCTTTTCTCCAAACCATTTCTTCTCTTATTTTTTAAAAGAAGGCTTCATGCCAGCGCTGGAACAAACTTGGGCTACAGCACTTAAGGGACCAATTTAAAAAGAGAGGGAGAGGAGGAAAGTGTCAATCAGCACTTGTTTGCAGCATATTAAGGCAGCTTGTGCTATAGCCATGACTTTGCCACTGCTGAATCTTGCAGGTCTTGATGGCAATAGCATAAGCTGCCCTGACGAGCTGCCAACACGTCTGCGTTCACTCCGATTCCCATGGGCACAAATCGCAGATCAACATGTATTGTGTAGTTATCACACCTTAAATTGTTTACTCCACTATGTGAATCTAATCTGAAGATTTACTGGGATCAAGAGTATTACTTGACCACTTGGGGAAGTTTCCAGTAGTGCAGATTTGCAGTTAAACAGCACTGAATTCTTTAGTAAATTTGTTCATTCTCTCTCAGAACCAACTTTGACCCAATGCAGCTCCCCACCAAACTTTACAGATATAGTATCATAACTGAAATAGTGGATCCAAGCATTTGGGACCAAGTCTTACTTAAGAATATATACTTGTCCCTTGCATGGATCTGAGCAGCAGAGTTTTGACTGTATACTTCTGCTGCCATAAATAAAGGCATTCTCAATAAATACTGCACTGCTATTTGTCTCCAGGACATGGCCTGAGAAAGGTGGGCCTCGGACTTACCAAGGCCCCTGCTGTAGGCAGTGCCTTGTAAGTTCAAGGCCCACCTTGGACTTACCAAGGCCAAGCCAGCCCCCTCTCCGGTCATGGCAGTTCGACATGGCAGCTGGTAGAGTGCTGGGGCACGCTGGGAGGCGGACGCAGGTTGGGGGAGGTGTGTGAATCAACTGTTTATGCTTTGCAGTTATGTTTTTGGGGGCATAAGAACTATAAATGGATTTTGAACTACAGTACACGGAGTCTGGTGCCTCTAACCCCCAGCACTGTTGAAGAAAGAAGTGTAAAAACAACCATCCTTCATTACCTTAACCGCCAAAGTAACAGCAGATTATGAATCCAATGAAGTTTTTCATCAGGAACATTTTGGACCCCTTGCACAACTGGAGTGAACGGCCGATGGGTTGGCATGCTTTAATGCACAGCTTGTTCCACAGTTCATTAGACATGGTTATGTTTCGTTTAGTTGTTGTGTCCGACTCTTCGTGACCCCATGGACCAGAGCACGCCAGGCTCTCCTGTCTTCCACTGCCTCCCAGAGTTGGGTCAAAGTCATGTTGGTCGCTTCGATGACACTGCCCAACCGTCTTGTCCTCGGTCATCCCCTTCTCCTCTTGCCATCACATTTTCCCAACATCAGGGTCTTTTCCAGGGAGTTTTCTCTTCTCATGAGATGGCCAAAGTATTGGAGCCTCAGCTTCAGGGTCTGTCCTTCCAGGGAGCACTCAGGGTTGATTTCCTAAGCTGGAAGGCATGGCTACAGTGCCCATTAAACACCTGAGGGTGGCATGCCAGCATAGGCAGGGTCTCAGTCAGTGCCAGATCATGGGTCTCTTTCTAGGTCCATGCTATGACACTCTGTGTGTCCCACAGAGGTGAGCGAAAGGCTGCTTAGCGCGTGTGTAAAATACCCGTGCGGGCATATAACCTACATTCACAGGCTTTCACACAAGAAAACATCATATCTTGTCTCGTTTTCCAGGAGAGTTGGTCAATGTTGAGAAAGCTCTTAAGTCCAGTAACTCAGTGGCCGCCCCGCCCCTGCCCCGAAAACACCAACAAAAGGAAGAGGGAATCCAAGCCCAACTCTTTATTACTACACGGAGGCACTTCTGATAACTAAAGTGGAGGAGCTTGGAATTACGTTGCAATAAATAAAAGGGGAGGAAGGGGGAAGAAGTGGGAAAGCGGTGCTGGTGCCACCCCAGTCTTTCAGTAGTTATGGCAAGTGCAAGGGGTAAGAACTACACGGGCAGAACGTGAGGCGGAGGACCCAGCAGTTGACAGGGCCCTCCTGGGGTGGGGAAAGCAAGGAAGGGAGGGAGGGTTTGGCATCCACCCATCCAGCCGTTCCTAGCTCAGGGAGTCAGGCAGCCAGAGGGGGTGGCTTCAGACGGCAGGACCCTGCAAGAGCAGAGGGCCCAAGTTCTCCTGCCCCAGACCAGAGAACCAGCGAGGCTGATCTGTGTGGTAGAAGCCGAGGCTCTGGTGCAATAGCCTCTCTGCATGTTAAATGCAAAGCAGCAAGAAGACTGCCTCTTTCCAATCTGTTGTGATTGTGGTGGTTGTGGTTGCGGTGGTGGTGCCAGGAGGGGGGCAGGAACACACACCCCCAGTAGGATCAGACACCCAGGCATTCCAACAGAGGCCCTGGAGATACATCATGAACACATCTCTTCCCAGGCAGGCACAGAAATCCCTTCTAAGCCTCCTGTGGTGCCTTCTTCAGGCCAAAAAAGCTGGAGGATCGGGGAGGTGGTGCGATGAGCATGGGGGCTTGGTTCTTGTGAATTATCTTGATCTGAAAATATACAGAAGAGAGTGTTCCAACATGTGTAAGCAGGACTCTGGTCTTTTCTCTAGCACAGTACACATTTCTAAGGCATAGCAACCACTACTCAGTTTCTTTGTCTCTTTCTTTCTTTTTTTATCAAACTGAAAGGAATTTCCAGGTAAACTGAAAGAGGCAGTGAAAAACATCCTAAAAATACACTGGCCAGAATTCTATGGCTTAGTTATGCTGGTATAAGTGCAACACCATAAACTGCAGTAATGAGTGGCCGTTCGTTATTGAGTTGCCACTTGGATCCCTCGTTGCATGACTGGCCTGTGACCAAGGATGTACTGTAAGTGGTGACTTGTTAACTAGCAGTAGTTTACCATTGCAAGTTGCACCTGTGGACTTACGCTGGCACAACTAACCAGCAGGATTGAAGCCACTGATCCCAAACCGTCTCCGCATCCCAGGAACTGTTCCATCATGGCATTAGAAGCTGCCAGAGGCAGTCGCCTGGATCCACATCCACAAACTGAAGAGAAGCAACAGTGGCAAGGTAGCTTCGGGCTGGAGACTTGGGGCTCCTTCTAAAGGGGGTCTCCACACCACTGCACCAGCCTGGAAGAGATACTAGAGCCGGTGCAACTGGCTGCTTACCGTGCATGGAGCCTGCATCCATGGCTCTCCATCGATCTGCATGGGGAGATGCTTGAGCGTTCTGCAAAAGGGGGAGAAAGAGAACAGAGAGAAGCTGCATAAGGCCATGGAGCAGACACAGATTTGGAGGGGAGATTCATTCCTTCGGCAGTACAATTAATTCTGCAGATTGAGGGGGTCTTGATGTTAGCAAATCATTATTTTTGGACTGCTCGCCTGTCTTGGCAAGTCTACAACACTGCTATCAACTACACAACATACTAGCACTGGCAAAGGAAAACTGTTCATGTAAGGACAGAATAACTCCTACAACCGCCTGAAGGAGAGGCTGGGATTTTAATTCACATATTGGAGACCTGGGACTGAAGCTGCAATTATATGATGAAGTATTGCGGGATTTGCTGTGGGTGTAAAATGGATGCATTGGCATTTTTAAAAAATTGATCAGATGATGCAAAGACCAATTCGAATCAGTCCAGCCCTTTTTGCTACCAATGTAGAGGGTTTTTTCCCTCTTACTCTGAGAGCTTCTATTTTTTCGTACCAGAATGATTTGAATGGAGTTTTCCTCATCTGATCAGTTCTTTCATTCTCCAGAAGGACTGGAAAGGCATAACTATGGGTGCTATTCTGGTGATGTATTTTGCTGGGTGTGATGTTTTGGACAGTAGGAACACCCAAATTCACAATCTTTCTTCCTAGCCACCCCAAATATTTTTAAATTTTTATCTTAAATAAACTACCGAGTTTAGCACTAGATCACCTTATCATTACATTGATATATAAGTTCAGCACTTGACCACTTCTGCATGGACAAAACAGAAGATAAATACTGATATGAAATAGAAGCAACTTAGATGAAGTAACAGACTTCTATGTTTCCAAAGTATGTGTGTATGTGTTAATACATTATGGAGAACTCCAGAAAACTCTCCCTTTCCCCTCGCACCATGTCACACTTTAAACAGCCCACTGGCGTTACAGTGAACCACGAAGGGAGAGCCGAGGATCAACAAAGGGTGGGATCTAAGGAAGTGGTACTGTGGTGCTGATCAAACGGCATCTGATTGAGGGGCCAGTGTGTGTATTGGTAATGAAACATTTTGCAGTCTCTGTGTGATCATCTAACCCAAAGAGAAGCATAAAATCAGCTGGGAATCCAGCTGCAGCAAAGCCGAATTTGGATTGCCAGTAAAGTTGCAGCGAGAAGCAGCAACTGATCTAACACCACTTGTTAGTCTAGAGTAGACCCAGGTTGTGTCATCTGATGCAGACCAGTGTTGCTACTGATAGAAAGGAAGGCTGTCTAGGCACAGAAGCACTGGCCTTTAAACTTCACATGTCCCATACTCAAGTCATAAGACTGTGGGAGGCTCTCCCGCTGGATCTTATCCCAAAGTGAGCTACAAAGGTTGCTGTCTTCCTCTCAGCCCGTGCATCTGGTATATTTTGAGAGGAGTCCAGAGAAGGTCCAGCAACTTCTCATCCTTATTCTTTCCCTCAAACTCTGCGAAAATGCTAAACGGCCATCGCAAGTGGATGGTGGGTAGGTGGGCGGGGGAGAAACCTCAAGGGGTCAGCCACGGACTCACAGGAGTTGGCCGGGGACTCACCGCAGTGTGATCTCAGAGCACTTGGCCAGCCGCTTGCCTGCACTCTTCAGCCCTGTGTAGATCTGTCCCATCTCAATCACGCCCTCCAGGCCCACCACCTCCATCCGCCGATCGCCCAGGTCTGGAGAGGGAATTGCAGGGAGAAAAGCTAAGACTATTACAAGCATCCCAAGTGCCACGCCTTTAGCCTTGCAAATCCTCCCTAGGATGTGTCCAGAGTATCGATGAAAGAATAAGCCTGGCCCTTCTCAAGGAGGCCCTGGTCTTCAGGAGGTTGGTGACCAAAAGCAGGAACGGTTCCCATCTCTTGAGCCGGGCCCTTCCAAAGCAGCCGGCCACCTATTGCTTATTGTCCCCTTCCAGCTGCAACTGTTCTTCCTTTCCACAACCCCTGAGGCCGCAGGAGCTCAGAGTCCTGTCCCCCCCCTTCCCTCCCTCCCCTGGACCCCTTTCTTTCAGCTCACCTTGAACACAGTTCTTCAGGGTTTCAGAATCAGTGATGACTTGGGGCTGCGCTGCTCCCCCTGCTGTGCTTCGTGCGGCTGCCTCCCCCAAAGGCCTTTTGGTCTCGCCCCAGAGGTTGGAGCCCCCGTGCATGCTGGGAATGTTCAGGATGGCCACTCCGGAAAGTGCTCCGCTGAGGTCCAGGGGATGCCCGCAGCACTGGGTAAGGGACGTGAGGGGAAAAAGAAACGGGAGTGATCACATAACTGGCTTTCCAAATACATGTCAGGACTGCGGCCATGACAGAACCACTCAACCTTAGTGCATGCAGGATCGGCCCCAATCCCTCTGGGGAGGTACTGTTCCTCCTGGCTTCGACTCCTGGACTGTCTGACCACGATTCACATCATCCTTCTACTTGGCTGCTGTTTAGACTCAAAACCCCAGCTGGTTGGTCTCTGCTTGGGTTGTGGGGTTGTTTCTAACTTGTTCTTGTGGTCTTGCTCTGGACTGGGTCCTGGTGCCTTTTCTACTGAACCTTGACAATACAAATCCGAGAGGTCCCGAGAAGAAGCTCAAGCTTTACAGATCCAGCTTTGCTCAGTGGGGAGCAGGAAGGTCAGAGGATAAGGTGTGACCCTCCAGACCTCACAGGGCTCCAATCGCTACCATTCTAAGCCAGCAGGGCGACAATCAGGCATGACAGCAGTTGTGGGCCAGCAACAGTCTAGAGCGTCAAAGGTTCTACCCCATTGTGCTGGGAATACAGACAGTGACGCTGTCTGTCCTGCAACATGGAGAGGGGGAGCGGGCAAACTAAAACAATTTTTCAAAAGAAAAGTCTTTGGCCCCAATCACATTTCTGACACGGAACCTCTAACCCCATCTATGACACGGTTCCAAGCGGTTTCTGACTGTTCTGCAGTGATGCATACAGGCACCCTGCACCTGCTCAAATGCCACGGCCTTTATAGGTGCCGAAACTGGACAACCGTCTTCCAAAGGGGTTCTCCCGCCAAAGAGCTGACTCAAGCAGTTTTATAGCAGAGCTCCATGCAGAAGGCAGGGGAAGCCAGCTCCTGCCCGTCCTCAGAGACAACACCGCCGATCCACTCAGGAGGCACAGCAGCAAAAGCTCACCTCTACAGACAGACACTCCTTGAGTTTTTTGCAGGTGGCGAAGATGGTCTCAGAGGTGGCAAACTCAAAATACCACAGTTTGTTCTTCATCCTGTTCAGATGAAGGGAAAAAAACCAACAACCTGTCTCTGGGTCCTGCTTCTGTTAAGAAGGCACACCCATGGGCAGGACCCACCCGCGGGAACAGCCACAGTCCCCCCCCTTCCACGCTTAGGCTGCAGCAGTGACCGACCACCACAGGGCGTCTCTGCAAGGCCTGTTTTCACTTTCCTCAGGCATTTCATGGACCACATCAGTTCTTTCTAACATATCTGGAAAAGGCCTTCCCCACCCAAGCGGGGGGGGGGTCTTCTAAAAGAGAATTATGCTCCCTGATGCTTCCTATTTCAGGGGCCTATTTGCTGAAGGTGGGGCACTGCATGCTGGGACGCAGAACTAACCTGCTGTTAAATTTCTCTGGGTATTTCTCCCTCATGACGTGGAATCGATGAGCAATGGAGGCATCCTGGAGAAAGCAGCAGTATGGAAGAGAAGAACGGGAGAAAGAAAAAAGAGAGAGAGAGAGAGAGAGACCTGAGACAGGCCTTCATGGAGGTGGGAAAACAACTGTGCCCAGGGCTAACCAAGAGATGGAAAGGGTCACCCAATCACAAGGGAGCAACCTGAAACTCAGGACTTGCCTCTATGGGTTCATTTGGAGCAGGCTGGTGTGGGCTAAATAGGGTGACTTAAGGTCACACAGAGGGCTGCTATGCCATTTGGTGTAATCCTTGCAGCCACACAGCATACATATCTCAGAGGGCCCTCAGTATTTGGTGGCGGATTCAATTGTGGGTAGGTTCTCCACCTGATCTTTAAGAAATGTCACAAAGAAAAGGGGTGGGTGGGAACCACCTTCCTGATTCCTCCCACTTCTGGAAGGAAGTTTTCAAAAACAATGGTTTTGTATAACCGATGCAGCACATCAATGCTGCCCTCATACAGTGTAAAAGAAACAACACTTTTCACTTTCTTTGGCCCTCCACTGAGCAGAAGGAAGTATTTAATTTCTTAATATTGTGAAGTTTAAATGACTTCTAATTCACTTTAAATTATAAGAAAACTGAAAAAGGAGGGCAAATTGACAGCCACAAGCTCCGCTTTGGTTCATTTCCAAAGACTGCATATACTGGAAACAAACCCAAATGGTGTGATCCTACCCACAGCAAAAAACGTAGAAGCCCCTGACAGGGACCCAAGAAGGTGCAGGTAGTATGGGTTGGTTTGCTCCAGCAACTGGAAAAAGGGAGTTGGACCAGCCCGTCCTCACAGTGGACCAAACAGTGGGATAAATGCCTGTCTGATCACACCCTCAATCCCCTTCCATTTCTCAGTTTCCCAAATCCTCCCAACTGGCTAGGATCCTGTGACTCCTTCTTGCTTTAAAATTCCTATGTTCTGTACACTCCATCTTCACCAAACTTTCCCTATCTCACACCCTTTAGATTTGCTAGACTACAAAACAGATCATCCTACTTGGCAGCACAAATGGAAACTGTGGTCTAACACACTGGTTTTTAACCTTGGGTTACTCAGGAGTTTTGCACTGCAACTCCCAGAAGCCTTCACCACCAACTGTGCTGGTTGGGGTTTCTGGGAGTTGCAGTTCAAAAGCATCCGAGTAACAAAGGTTAAGAACCACTGGTCTAACATATCTGGAAAACCCCTCATTTATATTCTACACCTATACCTTCTCTATACCTTCCCTATTGTCACCTGTGATGGTGATTTCCCTTCCTGCCATACAATGAAAGCAGTACAGCCAAAGGTTTAACAGGAGTGCAAACATCACTCACAGTATACCTAGTGACAAAACAGCTCTCCCCCCTCCCAAAACTCATCCCCTCCCTGGTATTTTCATTCTTCCCAATCGACCCTGTATCTAGTGACAAAACAGCTCCCCCCCCCACCATGAATGGAAACTCATCCCCTCCCTGGTATTTTCATTCTTCCCAATCGACCCTCCGTACTTACTACACCAATGGAAAAATAGTTGTTGATGATCTCGTAGGGGACCGGGTCACCTTTCTCTTCAGGGTTATCAGGTATCACCTGCACTGACCAGCGATCCATCTGCAGGATGCTGCTCATTTCAATGTCCTTCAGAATCTTCACCAAATTTTCACCATCATAACCTGTGCAGGAAGGAGACTGTTAGACATAGGAAGGAAAGGACAATGCAAGAGAGAGGGTACAGAACTCTGATTCAATGGGGGTGGGGGTGGCAGCAGGGATGGGAACCCAGTAGGCTGTCCACAGAGCTTGGGAAATCTTCTTTTTTTCTTGGGGGGGGGACTTCAATTCCCAGAATCCTCCAGCAACACAGCCAGGTTGGCTCTTGAATTCTGAGAGTTTAGTCCAAGAAGCAACTTTTCCAAGCTCTGGATCTTTGGAATTGGGGGGGCTTCACCTCCCCACCTTGACCCCTCCTAGTCTTAGGCTGGGAATGAATCAAGACAAAGACAGGCAACTCTGCAAGGGAGAGCCCAAGCTTCCTCTCCCACCTTTTCCCTTCTCATATTCTGGGGAACAACTGCATTGTTTTTACAGAACCGCATTGTCTCAGAAAAATCCTTAAAAATGCAATGAGCTCTACTTTACACATGTATTTCTTCTCTTTGTGTCTTGCCTTTTTTCTCTTTTATCCCAAGATAAGGGACAAGAGGTCCTCCTCACAAGAATCATGTGATGCAGCTATTAACTAATCAATGTGCCTTCAAGTAAATCCTGACGTAAGGTATTCCTTCCAAGATTTTCTAAATATAAAGTACTCAGAGGTGGCTTATTACAGTAGTTCCTGCTTCTGGTGCCACTCTGTGTCGGTGCACCTTGCCAGGCCCACAACCCCATCAGCCACAAATGATCCCTGTAATCTTGGTTGGCTCCTCTCCCAGGAGGCACAGTGGGGAGTCGAAACCCCAGCCCTCAGGTCTGTACTGAACTGAACTAGCCGTGCATGTGAGGTAGCCTTACGGCTGAGTTGAAGCAAACTGAAGCCAAGTTGTCCTGATCTATGTCCCTCACTGTATCTACTAGGTCATCCATATTTGATAAGCTGTCACTATGAGAAGTGCATGCTAATGTTTTGACCTCAAAATTGCAGAGTCCAGTTTCTGGGGTTTTTTCCCCCCCCGAAAGTGACCCCTAGAGAGAGTCCTGGGTATAGGTCAGCAAAAAGTCCAAAGCCAGAGGCTAAACCCCAGGGAGAAACCAAGAGAATCTCTGTGTGCAGAGATGAGTACAAGTTAGCCTAAAATCATATCCTCACAATTCATGCCGTCATTAAAAGGGTTCCCTGGACACAGTCAAAGAAGAGCCGTCTTTGCTGAGACAAGGGCAAAGCTCAGCAGAGAGAACCCACAGAAGCGCAGAAAAGAGACAGAAGACACACGATACCACTGTTCAGGGAGGCAGCCACATTAGGCTGTTTCAGCAACAAAACAGAAACATAGGTGTTGTGGTACCTAGCAGATTTATTTCAGTGTGAGCTCTTGCAGATTGCAGTTCACTTCTTGAGAGATGTTAAGTGCCTGCAGAAGTGAATTTAAGCGCCTTCAGACATGGATTGGAATCCACAGCAGCTCACAATGAAATAAAGACATCAGCTTTCCAGGTGCTCCAACACTTTAGTTTTCGCCTTGGTTGTAGGCGAGGTCAGGATCTGGGTGGTTAGCTCACCTCCTCCCCAACGAAGGCAACGGGCCAAGTCATTGCCAGTTCCCAGCGGCAGCACGGCCACCGGAGGCCGAGTGGGTAAGTTGGCTTTATCTGGAAAGGAAAAGGAAACAAAGATAGCGATGTACAAGTTGTGAGTTGACTGACTGTACAATAGGGGCAAGCAGACATTTTCAGGCAGGTGGCGGAGGTGGTTTCAGGCAAGCACGGGAGAGAGACAAAGATAGCGATGTACAAGTTGTGAGTTTTGCCCTTGTTCCTCGACTGACTGTACAATAGGGGTGAGGAGACATTTTCAGGCAGATGGCGGAGGTGGTTTCAGGCAAGCACAGGAGAGGCGGGTGTGAATACTCCAAACTGGAGTGGATCATCAGCTTGCAGGGGGCTGACCTTTTCCAGCAGCCCCTTTGCTCTCAAACGGCTCTTCGCCCACTGCATTGAGCCTCTTGGAAAGCCCCTACGGATGCTTATGGGGGTGTATATGTGTGCATATGAGAAAGCCTTGTAATGGGGAGGGTGATTCCCCCCCCAGAGACAGTTATAAGGAAAGAGCTCTGCCCTCTCCAACAGTAAAGCCCACACCAAAAGGATCCTCACATCACAATGGGGCTTGGAAAAGCTGCTGCAGTCACCAATAAAAAAAGCTTCACTGCTACAGGAGAGCAAAAACCCCATGCCTCTGATCAGTGAGGAGAGATCAACGTCCCAGAGAAGCTGGTGGCCCAAGCAGACCTCCCAAGGGGTCGGCTATGGCCTGCGGGCAGGAGTATCCCCACCTTCCCTTACAGTAAGAGTAACAACACCGGTGACGTTAGCTGACAGCAGGTTGCTAGGATGGCAGGTATGTTAACAAAATGACTTCCACTTGTTTGGCTCAAGAACTGAGTTTGAGAATTAGTTCTCAGTCCACAGTCCAGGGAAATCTAAGCCCTTCAAATCTCTCAAAACCTCACCAATGGCATCCAAGATCCAGCCCACAGTGCCGTCACCACCGCAAACCAGGATACGAAAATCGGGCACATCCCGGAAAAAATTCAGCCTGGAACAAAACACACACACACATATATATAAATATAAATATATAAAACACACGTACATACATACGTAAATATAAAAAAAACTTAAGCTCCAGATGGTTCAGATGCTACTCAGTCCTAATACACAGTCTCACCTTGTTATAGAGACCAACTTTTTTAAAACTCTGAACACACACACGCGCGCACTCAAACACACCATTTTAATCTGCAGCCTCTTTTATCCTTCACCAAACAAGAGGTGCAAACCACACGAAGCACCCGGGAGTAAGCAAAATTCATACCAACTCACCCAGGTCCAGGGCCCCCCTTCAGCAAGTTGTAGACCTGTCGTGGATTGAGGAGATACTGAAATTTCCGCAGCACTCTGCCAGCCAGAGATGACAACAGCCCATCAGACACCACCTTAGCAAAGACTTCACCAAAACACCAACTCTGGGACAGGATTACACAAGACTGAATCCCATCGATCTGTGACCCAGAGACAGGGTGGAACTGATTTAAATCGCAATTTAAATTTTGAAAAATCAGATTTTGGGGGGGGGTAATTAAAATTTTTAAAAATCTAATTTTTGGTTTTTTTAAACACTGATTTTTATCCACCCTGCTCACAAATCAGATCTTGAGCTCCGAGTCCTTGTATCAGCCCCTTGGCAGTCCTACCACATGTATTCCTTAACACAGCAGAAGGATTATTCACACTTTTGGTTGCAATTTTTTTTAAAAAAAAGATCTTTATGTCATCAACAGACAGAGCTAAACTGTGATTGGATTTCTTCTTTAATGCCTGGCACAGAGCTTGAAAAACTTACTTTTCAGGGGCCAGTATCTGACTGTGCTTCCATGGAGAGGCATGTCCTGCCAATGTAGTAATGCTAGATCACACTGTTTGCAGGGGCACTGCCAGTGGTAAGCAGAGGGCAAGTTTTCTTCGTGGCACTTACTACCTGAGCCACAAAACGTGCACAAGTGGCACAATGCCACGCTAATGCACTATCCCAAAGCAAGCACGGAGTGTAGCGTAAGACGCATATCGAGGAAAAATTGATATTCCTGGCTTCCCCTCTTCATTCTGACATTCAAGACCCATTCCTCTCTCACCTCTCTCCCTGCTTCCCGCCACTCTTAGGGTTCACAAAGACAAGCAAGGGGTGAGTGTCAGGCACAGGGATGATCTGCAGAAAGAGAGGGAGAAAAAAAGGAAGGGCTAAGAAAACCAGCTTGGCTAATGACCACATTCAATTGCCCATGGCTGAGACAAGCAAATAGGGCAGGAAGGTTCAGAAGTGCAGGCAAGAATGGAGTGGAGAATCTGGGTTTGGCAGGGACCCACGGTTTGCCAAAAATTGGGCCACTTGTAGCTGGTGTGTGTCACTTTCCCTTGTTTTCGGAGACATCAAGGCAAAAGCTTTAAACCACTGTTGCTTCCCACCCCCCTGCCCCACATCCCCTATTGTCCAAGGAGCTGGTTGGATAATTCAGACACAACTGGGTCACCTGTTGGGAGTTTGATTCCCCACCGTGCCTGCTAGAAAAAGGGGCAGCCTGTGGAACCTTGGACAAGCTGTACAGTTCCAGAGTATCACCAGAAAAAGGGAACCACAAATGTTTAAGTGGTTGTAGAAAGGGTAGCCGTGTTAGTCTGTACAAATACTGAAGGTGGAAGAAGAAGAAAAAATTGTAGGTCTGATAAAGTAGACTTGTCCACAAAAACCCCCATTTGCAGGGGTCCTTGGAGAACCCTCTGAGCCAACAAGTCTTGTGCTGTAGGAAGCGGCTGCTATGGGGAGGATTCGGCTGCACTTCAGAAATCCCTCAAAGAGCCCCCCCCCCTTTTCAAAGAAAGAAGTGGACAAAGACTGAATCAAGAGCAGAGTTCCAAACCAGACATGAGAAGCAATGGAAACTGGGAGATTCCACCTCAGTGAACTGGGACACACACACACCCTCAGACTGCCGAGAGTGCTAACAGAGTACTCATGGGGATGGAGAGATAGAGGCAGGAGCCTGGAGACCCCTTTCCCCTTCTCTCCTCAACTCACCCGCAAGGCCTGGCCCTCTGGGGTGGTAAAAGGCTGCGCTGGCTCTTCTGAAGGAGTTCCACACAGTCCGTTCTTCTGGCTGTTCTGCCGCTCCTGGAACCCCAAAGGGACACAGGAATCAAGAGGGGCAAGTGGCATCACACAAACCCCACAGAGGGCAGGCAAGTCCCCTCACAGAACACCCACCCTCTGGATCAGCTGCCTTTCCAGGAATGGCTTCTCTTTCCACAGTGGCAGCCACAAGAGGCACAATGGATGAGTAATTCACAACCTCTGGCCCACCAGAACCTTTAACTGCTGGCCACACAGGTTGGGATGTTCTGGCACAAAAAGGCCAACATTTCCAGAGACCCACAGGTTGAGAACCACTGGTCTAAAGGTTTGCCCAGCATTTTATTCAAGGGGGGGGGGAGAAGGGGACCGTTCCCTGGTTATTTTAAATGTCTTAACATCAGATTTAAAGGGAGAGGTGGCTTTGGAAAGCTCAAGGGGTGAGCATTCTTTGGGGCCAGGGTGACCTTGCGATTGACAGAAGAGGCAACCAGTGTTCAGCACTGCTGCTCAAACAGGAAAAGCAGGTTTCTTCAGACCCTAAGAAAGTGGCTTCATGCTTGTGCCATAAATACAATGAATGTCCTTCTACGGTGAACTTGCTACTGAAAGGATGTGTCTCCTCCTGCCCTGTTGCAGAAGGAGCACCCATCTCTGGCCTTCTTTATTTCACTCCAAAAGGAACCTTCTCAAGTGCTAATTGGAGGTAACAAAAATATGTGCTTCTTGGGGGGTCAGCGACTTCCGCTACCTACTGCTCCCCCCCACAGGTTCAGAAAAGGTTCCTGTCGGTGCAGTGATTGTTGGAGCAGATACTCTCATTCCCATTTGTGGGCGCTCACAGCATGGGTGCGCATATGGCCCCGCACACATCGCTTCCACAGGGACCATGTGTCTCATCAGGAAGCCCCTCACGCTCTCACCAGCACAACTGGGTAGATGGCAGAAGGAGGCAGGATATGGTCTCTGAGGATCCCACAGTCGCAGGCGGAAGGCATGAGAGAGAGGCACTCGTCATGGATCTAGGGAGAAAGCAGGGCATCCAGCTGAATCCTACCGGACCTTTCCCAGGACCACGGCTAACTCCCCTCCCTGGCAAACATGGACCGGCTGCAGAGGCAACACCAAAGCGTACAGTACAATTTCGTTTCCTTTTGCCTCCTCCAGCACGTGCCTTTGGAGTCACCACTTGTGATTTTGCCCTCAGTATTGCGAAACAAGAGCAAAAAAGGACCATCAGTTTTAACTGATAAAATGAGGTTTTTGGCATGTATACAGAAGACTAAAATTTAACTTAGCAGATGAAACGAATGACAGTTGTTGTGCAGGCTGGATAGCTCAGGGGGTTTAGGCATCTGGCTGTGGGACCAGAGGTTGGGTGTTCGATTCCCCACTGGGCCTCCTGGGAGGAGAACCAGCCTCTGTGGCCTTGGGCAAGCTGCCCAGTCCTGGGGTACTCCCCAAATATACTTCCTTTATTCTCTATTTAGAAAACACTGGAAAGGGTTGTCACATGTTGAAATCAACTTGCTGGTGTGCAATTATGATTAGTTATATTGTGCAACACTGTGTGCCACTAGGCGAAAGACCAATTTTGCATTATTGGGTAATGCTATGCTTGAAAACTAAGCATGATTATGCATATACTGCTTTGCTGCTGTGCTCGCGCCTGCCAGCTTTTGCATTTAACAGCCAGATATTATTACAGTTCAGTATTCCATTGCAATACTCAGATATGCTGGACTACAACTCCCATTAGCCATTAGGCCAGCAGGGCCTTTAAGCAGGTGTGAAAGGAGAAGCAAGGAGACACATCTGGAGAACCACTGCTGCCTTCGCTCACGTCTTTCTGTATACCCCTAACATCCCAAACGGTCTCAACCTACTTTCTGATGGCACCAGGCACAGTGCATGCCTGTCAAGCTCTGAAAGCTCTTGATCTTCTTTTGACACCGGTCGCACTTGCTGCCATCACAGCCGCCTCTTACCCAGACATGCGCCTGTGCCTGCAGGGGATGAGAGAAAAAGAGGGGCCGTCAGAGGGGCGACTGGACGGCTTCAACAGGCCAGGAACCTCCAACACTCGAAATCTCTCCCGGAACACTGAAATCATGCAGTTCAGAGGGACTGAAACTCACCATGCTGTATTGCATAGGCACCATGCAATATAGCTCTCTCTTTAGCACTATAGAAAGCATCATGTGTGGCTCTTATCTAGAATGGAACAATATTGCATAGGCACCATGCTGCTTAAGATCCCTCTCTCTTTAGCACTATAGAAAGCGTCATGTGTGGCTCTTATCTAGAATGGAACAACTGTGTGCAAATGGCCAACCCTTAAATTTGTCTCCTATCTGATTTTCATTTCACTGTTCCCTGCTAGCACACCTCAGGATGCGGACAAGGAACAAAAACTTCAGAGCCCGTGGAGGTTGTTGGCTTGTTTAAATTCTGCAGGGTTACCCAGGTTCATATGCACTTACTGCAGTGTAAAAAAAAAAATCAAGGTCTTATGCCGCATGCTAAGTATTTAGCAAAGCTAATGTAGTTCAGCCCTACAAAGACCACAGGTGAGAGAATGGGAGGAAGTTTATCTAGGACTTCCACAGTATTTCAAACTATTTCCAAACATACAAAAGAAAACAGGGAAAAAAACTGGACCCAGCTGTCCAGAAGCAAGGGCTGAGGCATCATAATTATCCAAGCATGTACTTTTTAAAATGAATTTCAGAGAACAGAGGGTTCTTGTGACAACTACAGCAAGTTCCGAGGGGCTGTGGAGGGAACAGATGAGCAGAGACCGAAAGGGACGCAATAAAAGCTAGAGAAGGACAGGGTGACAAAATCAACCTCACATTCTGAGCAGGGGAAAGCAGTGGTGGCACCACTCGCACCTCTTAGAACAACGGAGGAGCGGAGGGATGACTCCAGAAAGGAAGAGAATTTATGGGGTGCACAGTAGGGGCCGGAAAGCCTAATCTCGGTTCGGACCAGAGGGCAACTGGCAGTGGAATGAAAGAAGAAGAAGAGAGACAGAAGAGCCTACATGAAATCCTGCCTGGCAAGAGGACAGGAGGCTAGCTTGTAGAGCTGATCCCCTCACCCCTTGCCCAAGTCACTCACGCTGGTGTCACGGCGACTCTTGGCATAGGTGTTGATGCAGCTGGGTGGGGCCTTGCGGGCACAGCGCTCATGCACCGTGTACTTGCAGACTGTAGGCACAGGAAACAGAAGAACGGAGTCCCCCACAGGCCAGGCAGTAGGGACCAAAGAAACACACAAACATCCCCAAGTCCCCCATAAATCTTTTCCAACCTCCGTTTATCTCTCCCCTCATTTTTTAATCACCTTTTGCCAAGTGCAGGGAAGCCTCTTATAAAGGTGACAATGTGAAGTCAAGACATTTTACTTTCAATTTTCAAAAAAAATAATGTAAGATGAAAATCTGTCCCTTTGGAGGGGCAGGACACAGAACTTCTGGTTGAAGGGAAGTCCCTTTTCCTGAAGACTCAAACTGTAATTATTTTAAATTCACAGTTTGCTGTTTATTATTGTTGTCAAATTTGAACACTTCCACATTTTGTTGACATGTAGCTTGGCTCTTAACAGAGGTACTGCCCAATTGTGGATATATTTTTCTTTCTTGATGAGCATGCTTTTGTTTTACCAAATTCTTTCTGCTCTTAAGAATACTCAAACCGTTCATCAATTACCACAATGATTGCAGTATGTAATATTACAGTTGTTATTAACTATTGTTAGTGAAGTAAGTAATGCTGTGCAACACTAATATAAAGTATTTTCTCCCTCACCCCATCCACCTGCCATTTTGTAAACTATGTTTTAGGGAAGTTTTTAGATTATAAAAAGTGACAAGCTATCAAAGGACTTCTGAAAATCCCTGATTTTACTTTATTTTTTTAAACAGAGCAGGTGTCCTCATGGTCATGGGGCAGGTGGTTTTTCTTTTTAACAAGGGAGAAATTACTAGAACAAGAGTGAAATTCTGAACCAATAGAATGTTGGGGACCTCTGTCGCAAAGGTGTGCATGGGGTGGCTTTCAGGAGATACATGTTTGATTTCCAGAAATCACAAGCCATTCCTGGTCAATTCCTACTGCAAAAAATACTTATCCATCACCTCGCCATTTTACAGAAACAAGGCTGCAATTCTGCTGGAAGCTCCTTTTTTGTTTCTACTTGAACGTTATGTAAAACGTTAGGGAGAAATGCAAAACTAGTGTAAGAGAAGACCATGCTAGGATCTACACCAACAAATTTTATACAGATTGCTGTGAAACTCCCTCTAAGATTCTGAAAGGCTATCATCTGTACATAGCCAAGTGAACCTGTCTTTCTTAGCAGAAAACAATTCAACAGTGCTCAATACATAATATCCATCCCAATAAAACAAACCTGGATAATTTAATTTTATGCACAGTTGGGTAATGAAATGCGATGTTCCAAGTTACAAAATTCTGGATTTGGACCAGCAGTAAACTATAAAAATACGGCACGCAATGCAATCTACATCTGTTTGACTTTGAAAGAACATTAGCCCCTCTGAAATCATGCATGGTTCTCTCTCTACAAAGATAAGAAAATCTGAAAGGAAGTCCCTGCGATGTTTTCTTTGCACTGTTCTGGAGGCGCTGCAGTGTACTGCTGTTCTGCACCATTCCAGTAAAGTCAGAAGCCTGAGGCCATGTGAGAGGCTTCCACAAGGAGGGCCCTTTCCAAGTGAGAACTGCCCTACAACTCAAGAGGAGGGGGCGACGCTGGCTTAAGAGAGAGCTCCACTGATTTCCTTTTCAGCTGTTCCCTCCCATGGCAAGGCAAGGATCTGTTCACCACCAGTGCCTGGGAAGTTACTTTTCAAATCCAAACAGTTACTATTGTAGTTCTAAGGGCACCAAGAGTAATTAGTTGTTGCTACAGATTCTGGGAGCAGTAGTTCAAAAAGTAACTTTTCCCAGCTGTGTCGAAATGCCAGGTAAGCGTCTGGCCTGTGGTACAAAATACAATCGCCTTCAATCCCCTGAGTCACGACACCCACAAGAGAAGACAAGGCACAGCACGAGCCAGCACCTGAACCGGGGGGATAGCCTTCCTGCACACCTCAGCCCCCAAATTACAAATTTAACGAGAACATTGCATTGTGGAAGGACTGACGCTATCCATCACTAAATTACAGGAATCATCTATTGTCGTTACACCTCAGCTATAGGGAAAAGAAATGAATTCCAAGTCCCTAACAATTTGCAGCTAGTTACTTCTGGCTCTGAACAGAGCCCACACCGCTCAAATTCTGTTGGGGGGGAAAAAAACCTTAGACCTTTGCCTTGATGTTCTAAAGCAACACGGTTAAAGAGACTCAGGCGTGCCTCTTGATGACCTCAATGACAACAAGTTAACATTAAGAGCAGGGCTAGCTGTTGGAGAAGTCACGGAGTGCCATGCCTCTTTCTTTCCTCTTCCTTGTATAACACAGTGTGTGACGTGGGATCATCTCTGTATATTTGGCCTTCCAGACTGCAACTCTCACGATCCCTTTTGGGTGGGAGAGCCATGCTGGCTGGGGCTTATGGCCACTGATGGCCATCTCTGGAGGGCCAAATAAGAGCTGACTGTTGCCCATCCCCATACTTGACATAACTGGAGGAGAGGAGAAAGCGGTAATCCGAAGCAACAAGAGCCACCTGTTTCTTGCAGCATCTCTTTGTCCCCCCCCACAAAAAAATCTTTCAAAGAGCCTTTCAAACGGTGCTGCAGATGTTGAAAACCCTCTCCTCCTCCTCCTCCTCCTCCTTGTATTCTCCCACCTCCCACAAAGGTGACCTCCTCCTCCAGGCCCCTTTCAGCACAGGGCTGGGCAGAAGGAGACCTTGCTGGCCAGGAAGAAAGACAGGACAAGGGCCTTTGGAGTTCCCGCCCGCCCGCAGCCCAGGGACCCAGCAACTCACTCACAAGTGCAGCGCAGCCCCTGCTTCCGCAGCCCCAAGAGCAGCGTCTCACACACGTTGCAGTAAACGGGGCGGTTGAAGTGCTTCAGGCGCCACAGGTGCTGCCCGTCGTCTTTCATCGTCTGAAAGTGAAGGAGAGACCCAGCAGTTGAGACCAGA